AGGGCCCATGAAAAATGCTGGCATTATTCTTTGGCAGGGTGGCTGGTCCCTATGCCAAAGACAGATAGGTGATAGCCTCAGTGCCTGGTGGTGGAGGCGGGAGATGTGCCCTTGGGCCTCCAACTACTCTGCCAGCTGCCACCTGGTAGGCACACGTTGCCTTCTTTCTCTAGTTGCTCCTCCCATCCTGCACAACCCTGACCTAGGCCGTCTTGGGTCTGGAGGACAGGAGGTCTGGCTGGTGGCATCTCACACACATACCAAGGAAAGCTAAAGATGGTGTGTCACGCGGGCCAAAGTCGATGAGTAGCACAGAAGGGGGCGGGAGGGTCAGCGAGAAGAGGGAGGGCGGCTGGGAGGGGCTGGGAACTGATAATGAGGTATCCCAGCCAAAGCACAAGGAACAATGATAATCAAAGCACGTTATTACATTGACCTCTGCTGCATCTGAGCGCAAACACGAAGCTTAGAAACCCGGAGTGAGGAACTCACTGCAGGCAACAAGCCTCTTCGGGCTTTATGTGAGATCGCACTGACCCTCGGCACTGAGGCAGAGGGAAGCCAAAGGGTCCCCAACGGGGGCCCTTTGACCTAGCAGCAGAAGCTGGGAGCACGTGGAGGCGGGCATCGCAGTGGGAATAGGCCCACTTAAACCAGTCACCTGCCCATCTTCTGGGCGATTCTCTTCGTTTTCCCTGCTGTCCACGCCTTGGTGGTTAAGGCTAACTCTGGGCAGAGGCTCAGCGGAAACATGGGGTTGGGAGGTCTCGCCGGCTCTTAAGACTTAGCCCACACAGACATCCTCAGGACCTTCCAGCTCCTGGACTAGGCTAGGAGCAAGGGACGCACTCAATGCCACGAAGCACCCACAGGTCCCCACGGAATGAACAGTCCGCAGGGATGTGGTTGGGGTTTCAGTTACAGATAAACAGACTGGCCAATCAGGTCCCTGCAGCTCTAGCGGAGACCACAGGGGGCGCTGGGCAGCAACGAGACAGCACGCTGCTGGGTGGCCACAGGGCTGACGCAGGAAGGCCCCTGGCGAAGGTGATGCCCCAAGGGCCTGAAGGAGGAGGGAGGGAGGCAGGCAGGGAACAGCAAAGCCACACCCTGGAGACAGCAGGGCACAGAGAATGAGATGGCGTGTGTGGAAAGGCCCCTGTGGGCAGGAGGAACCAAAGCACAGGGCTTTGACTGCTGAGCTCCAAATTCTGAGCTTAGGATGCTAAGTTCGGAGCCTGGCCATCTTTGAGGCGGTAGGGGATGGGGAGGCGCGCGGGCACTTTCAAACAGTCCCCTGGGCGAAGGAGGAGGAGAAACCGTCCGGCCTGGAGGCGCCCAGGACCGCAGCCTGTTGCTTGGGGAGCAGACACGAGGCAGGGGAAGGCAGTGTAGGTGAGGTCCCCATGGGGCTTTGCGCTGGCTCACTCAACCTCACACCCTGTCTGTTTGACGAAGGAAGTGAGTGTGAAAAGGCCAAGGCTGGTTCTCCCTTTTCCTCAGTGCCCCCCGGACACAAGCTCACCCCAATCAGGGTGTTAATTGGAGCTGTGGAAACGGAACTTATCCCCCACCATGGGCTCCTACTGCTTTGAGCGCCCTCAAAGCATCTCTGTCTTTTTTCATGACTTGTCCACAGCCCGAAGGAAGCTGAGGTCTCGGCGAGAGAGGCCCAGGCCAGGCCACCCTGATCCATTCAGCTTAATCCTCTGGGCCATCCGTCGCCCTGCCTGTGCCAGGCTGAGTGCAGGGCTGGCTTTTCACCCGCAGGCACGGCCCTGGGTGTCCGTGATCTGGGAGCACAGGACGGATGCCAGTGCCACTTCGCCCAGTTCTGGCCCTTGGTAGCTCGGGGAGGTCAGCGTCCACCCAGAGTTGCTCCACGGCCCTTCATTTTCCCACGCCCCAACCTATTTACCCTCAAGTGTAGACACAACACGTTGGCTGTGCTGAGAGAATGAGCCCGAGCTGAAAGGCTCGCTCTCCCCATGGGAGCCGGAGGCGCCGCTCTGAAGTGGGTTTCTCAGGCAGGGACACGACTCTTATCTCTTATCTCATGGGGCCCTGTAACTCGAAGCTGCGGCCTGCTACCGCCTCTCAGGAGTTCCAGGTTCCAGGAGCGGGTGTAAAAAGCACCGCGTAAACTCGTCTGGAGTCTGCAAGTGGGGGCCTGGTTTGTTTGATAAACAAACCAGGTGGGCAGCATGACGGCTGAGCTCAGGCTCTCCTGGGATCCTGTCTGTGCCACCTGGCCTCAGCTGACAGGAAGTGGCTTTGCCCCTTCGTCTTCCTGTTGGCATCTTGTGTCCTTGTCCCCGCCGGAACCCGAGTGTCACCTTATCAGGGAAAGGGGCTTTGCACGTTTGGTTTGGCAACCCTGCTGGGGACCCCGCTGGCTCCCATTGAGGGCTTTGGGTGTGAGGTGCTCACAAGCCTTTCATGGCTAAGGCCCAAGCCCAGAGCAGCCGCTCCTCTCCTTGCTTCCCAACCGTATGTGAGGGGAAATGACGGGAAACCCAGGCAACGGTGTATCCGATGTGGTGCTTCCTCGCCAAAGAAAACCTCCGAATATGACCTCCTGGTGGAGTAAGACCTCTGGGTGACACAGCAGGCCTCAGCCATCCCTCTTCTCTCGACTTTGTGAGGACATACTTAGTTGCACATGGGACTTCTTAAAACTAATAGTTACTTGCTAAATGGCATTTTGCTTACCAATTAGTTTCATCAGTCATACAGATGCCATATTGTTCTCTCAGCAATTCCCAAACTTTGGCCTATAACCATGATAATGAGTCCTTGTCCAGGAATCCCCATCTCACTGCCAGCTGCCCACTGGAGGGGAGGGCCTGGTAGGAAGCCACCAGGTCTCCAGGACAGGAACACCCTGGATGAGGGTGCTTCCTCTATTTCCAAGAACAAGGCTGGGTACCAGGGGCAATGACTATCTGTCCATTCATCCCGGGCTCCTCGTTCCAGGGACAGCCCGGGAGGCTGACGGAAAGCTGTCCATCCACCATAGAACGTATAACCCGGCCCCTCCCCCAGCGAGGTCTCCCTTTTGAGTTCTTTTGCTTTTGAGTGTGGGGGGACACTTCTAAGAGCAATCTAGTCCCCAGATCTGATGCTTCCCCATTCCACCACCCTACAGTCATGCCTCTGAATCAATGGTGTGTCAAGCACAGTGGACAATGATAATGAATGGTGCCCTGGAGAACTGCTGTGTCCCTGTACGTGGTAGTCCTGGTCAGAATGTTCTACAAGAGCAAAACGAGCAAATATGACAGACAGATGGACAGTTGGGGACTTCGGCAAAACCCACACTCAAAGCACCCCAGGACCTAGGTGAGTTTCCTGGGAAGCTCAACTCCAAGCTAGATTAATGGCAAAGGCTGAGAGCAAGGGCAGGGAAGCTCGTGGGGGTGGGTCCAAAGCTTAACATCACATCAAAGGGACTGAGGAAGGACAGGAAAGGGAACGACTCCAGCTAAGCCACGTACTGTCACTTGAACAGAAACTTGACAGCCACTCAGCCAACAGGACACGCAATGCTGTGTTAGTAAAACCACACAACGTGGTCCTCTTGTCGCCCTCAGCAGCGTCCCCGTGGACTCCCTGACATGGGGAACCAGTGGACTTCCAAACAGGAGCCCCTCTGGAACTATTTAATTCACCATAAATCCCTTTTATGACTAACAGCCTAAACAAAGCCAACCTGTCCCAGCAGGTAAATGCCAGGACAAAAGACACAGTCTTGTTCTCTTGCATTCCTCCATTCATTTTGGACCGTCTGGCTCATAAGGGCAATGACCTCTCAGGAGGTCAGGACCGGAAAGGGGACACTGCCAGAACACTCAGAGCCCTGGCTTGCTGATGGCACTCACTGCTATGTCAATGAGACCCCCCAGAGCCATGGCCTTCTAGTTAGCAGCAGGGGGAGCTGCTGACCCAGGGCTTCCAATGCCCAGCATCCTCTTGGGTGGGAGCTGAGGCTATAGGGATACTCCAGGGTCCCTCCCATTCTACGGGAAGGAAACATCACAATGGCCACTGAGATTTGTCCCCTTGGGAGCTGGTGACCCTGGAGAAGTTGAGGGTACTGGTCTGGCCCCATCTGCTCTTCCAGGCTGAAGCCACTTCAGTTTGGTCTACATTTGTCCCCTTGGATTTCCACAAATGCATCCCATAGCTGGGCGCAGGAAGCCTGCTTGGGAGCTGCTCTCAGGCAGGCTATGGAAGGCATGTGAGTGCCTGTGCTCTTTCCCTGCTCAGGTAACAACTTACGTTGAATGCTGAAGCAGAACTTCTTCTGCTGGTAGAGATGTAGCTGGACACAGCACCAATCAGGGCCATAGCCAGGGCACTGGCCACACCAGCAATGGTGCCAGTCTCCGCCGACATGCCTGGCACGGAACAGGGAGAATGGAGGAGAGCTGGGCTCAAAGGTGAAGTGTTTCACTACTAGCCCTAAGCTAAGCTGGTTCAGATGCCCATAATCTCCACGTTCCTGTGGGTGGGTTATGCCATCTATATCTGAGGGATGGCAGACACGGTGCCCCTTGGGTTTGCCAAGTGCTTCTGGTCTCCTGAGAAGCATGAAAGGCAGACATGGAACTCATCCCTCTTAATGAGACCCAGCCAGGCCTTGGCCACCTACCCCAGCATCTAGATCTTCATGGTTCCCTTAAAGAACTGCTCCCCTCTGCCACTGGCCTCACAGTTCTCTATTGGAAACCATCATGGTTTGGATCTGAAGTGTCCCCAAAAGCTCATGTGTAGAAGGCGTGGTCCTGGTGCCACAGTGTTCAGAGATGGGGCTGTGGGAGGTGATGAAGCCCTGATCTCAAGAGATTAATCTATTGATGGAATCACAAGCTTAATGGATTTCAGGGGAGGGACTTTGTTACAAAAGCTGTCGTTTCCTGGCTGCCACCAAGGCGAGCAGCCTCTCTTGCACCATAGGATTGTGCCATGTTTTTCTGTCTCACACAAACCTAAAGCACAGGGCCATGCAATTGTGTGCTCAAACCTGAGACTGTGAGTGAACACAAATCTTTTCTCCTTTTAAGTCACCTACGGAAAACTGACTAACAGAAGCTTTCTATTCAGGAGCAGTGGGGCGGAGCAACTCAGACCAGAGAAGGCCAGCACTATTCTCCTTGTGGTTTCCAACAGAAACTTGGGGCACAGACACTCACCGGATCCAGGGTCGTCACTGCTGCCGTATCCACCGTCACCTGGAGAAAGGAAAAAAGCACTTAGTGTCTGCTGTGACCCTGTGACCAGCGGCGTCTGGGTAGGGCCACAGCAAGGCATGACAGTGGGCTTCTACTAGACTGTAGCCAGGCCTGCTTCTTAGACCTGTCACCTGCAAAGCCCAGGTGACAGCCACTGAAAGCCCCATGCCTCATCTGCAGGCTCAGCCTCTGAGTTTATCTCTGCTGTCCCATGGGGCAGCTACACTTGGCATCTCCACCTTACGAGGACAACGCGAAGGCTGGCAGGGAGGGGCTGGTATGCAGGTGGCAGAGATGAGTTCAGGTCAGTCTCCGGCCTGACCCATGTCAGGCCCAACTATAGCTGGAGCTGTCCTTGGAACATAAATAAATTCAAGGTCACAGTCCCACATGCACTGTTTTCACATTCGAGTGACTGAAATATCACAGAGACACCACACGGACGAGGGATGGCTAGATGTGCTTCTCAGTGGGTAACAGGAAGGAGTGTGGTACAGAACCAGTCACCTTACTACGATGATGTCACACGAAGCAGTGTGTGACGAGACTCACACACACACACACTTCAGCAACACACACAGACAACTCCCTGGCAAACCACTGCTACCATTTGGTTTGGGATGCTACTCAGCCCAGAGTCCAAACTTCATGCCGCCTCTGCTCAGGACCTAATGGATGGAGGCAGTGTTCCCAGGACCCAGGGTTCTTAAGAGAACGTCCCTGAGTGTGTTGCAGGCCATGAGCTGTGACATTTCCTTCAGCAATCAAAGAGTCCAGGGGAGGGGGAATGTCGCTTCATGGAGTGGAAAAATGCACCACCCTGGGGGTGGGCTGTTCCTGGCGGAGGTGGGGGAGAAGGTGGAACCCAGGAATTCTCTGTACTTTCCACTGAAGCTGCTCTAAAAATAAAGTCTGCTTTTGAAAAAAGTCTGGGGAGAGAAATGAGGTTTGTTATGTTCTCACCTGAATCAAGCTAAAAGCATTTTTTTTTGCAGTTCTGGATTTGAACTCAGGGCTTCATGCTTACTAGGCAGGTGTTCTACAACTTGAGCCACTCCACTAGCCCAATATTTTTTAATAAGCATTCCTGATGGCTATTTTACAAAACAAGGATCACCAGCATTCTTGTTGTTGGTTTTTTTGGGGTAGTTTTTTTTTGAACCAGGGTTTCACTGGGTGGTCTAGGCTGGCTCATGATCATCCAGCCTCAGCCTCCTAAGTGCCCGGGATTACAGGCGTGCACTGCCACGTCAGGTTGAGCAAAGATTCATTTTCCACAAGCACTATCACTGTTGCTGGAGAAAGCCAAGCAGGAAGGAAGATGGAGTCACAGTGCGCATTAATGCGTCAGTAGTGAGTGCTTGGAGTCTGATTGGCACTGGCCTGTCAATGGTCCCCTTGGCTGTGCAGCAGGTGGCTGTGGTCAAGTGTGAGGGTGAAAATCCACATAGGCATCTTCTGTTGACATGTTGAAGTTATTAGGTTGCTGGGTTCTGTACTACTCTAAGTGATTCAATCTTTTGTTTCTTTCACCTCAAGGCAGAGTGCAGGTGTGGTTCTGTCTTTCTCCCCTTGTTACACTTGGCTACTGAAGGCACAATCTGTAGGGCTGCTGAGACAGGAGCTGCGGGGTCACTGAAATGTAAACAGAATGCCCCTTGCCTAATTCCCTCCAGGGGCATCCGAGGAAAAGGCTTGGCATTTTCCCAGGCTGTCAAAACGATTCTGAAGCTCAGTACTTCACACGTCTGGTAGCTCCAGACCATCTGACCACCTGCAGTTGTTCTAAGTGACAAAAGATGGGGTTCTTGCCCTCCAAAACAGTGATCCCATCCCATGGGCAATCCATCCTATGAGTCTAGAGAACTACTGGGAGATAGAAAGCCAGTCACTCTAAATCCTTCTGTCCCATCTAGTGGTGTGAACTAAAGTCAGCCACCTGGGCCTGTTGCTGGAGTTAGCCAAGCCAAAGTCGTGGTTTGATCCCTGTTGGGGTACTGGCTCTGCTCACTTTCTCTGGTCACAGGCTGAACCCAGCTACCCTACAAAGTATTGTGCAAAGGATGAGACTGAGACAGTGGCGAACCACAAAGCATAAAGTAAAGTTACCCAACTCAATACTGTCTATGAAAATGAATCCTGATAAAAAATAAGAGGATGAGACCATAAAAGCACTACAAGAAATTTTATATTATCTTAGCGGTAGGAATGAGTTTCTAAACTTGTTCCTAAGGCCGAAAATGGATAAGACAATATCAAAAGTAAAAGCTCAGAACTAAAATCACAAGCAAAAAACAGATAAATTGAATGTGCCACCATTCAAAACTTTTGTGCTTCAAAGGACATATCAAGAAAGTGCAATGGAGGCTGACTATGTAAATCACAGTATAACCTGACATTAGGTCATCTGTGGCATACTATCTTTAGAACAGTTTAATGCACAGAGAAAGATCTCCAGAGCATTATCTGATAAAAACTCCTTTGAAAAAATAGCCTGATTCCATTTTTATAGACAACAGACACACACGGTTACGAATGTAAAGAGAAAAGCACTCCAGTGGTTCTCCCTAGAGGGTGAGACAAAGAAGTGTCTTTCGTAGCATTTTTGAAGTCTTAAGTATGCACACCCTGTACAAACCTAATCACTTCTCTTCCCACAGTGAGAGGCGGGATGGTTCAAAGATTCCAGTTCACATGTCACTGGCAGAATCTTCATTTTCTAGAACAATATTTTTTGTATCCCCACAAGCCTTCTGAGTTCGCAATTATAAACCAAATAGACAATGGTGGCCCCCTATTATACCCAAAGAATGTCCCTGTACAGTGTCTCTCACACTGAAATTTGTTTTCAGTATAGCTACCTATAAGCACAGCCAGCCTTGTGAACTGCAATAGTTCTAGGGACCCCTACTGTAACTACAGTGACTGCCACAGTTGCAGGGACTGTCACAGCAGGTCCAGTAGTGACAGTGTTGCTGGATTTGGTCTACCATGTCTGGCAGCCAGAAAGTTCTTGATCTGATCACAGAAAGAATTGAGGGGCAGACAAGAGACTTAAGCTAGAGTTAGTTTCTCAATGCAAAGCAACGCAAAGGTGGAGTCAAAAGGGCAGCGGCATCCCTCCAGATGGGAGGTGTGGGCAGGCCTCAAGAGGGAGTGCTGCGCTCCGGGGTCCCAAGACCTCAAACTTTTATTGGGGTCTGTGGACATGGAGGTGCCCAGCCCTGGAAAATGGGTTACGTGTCATTAACTTCTGCACAGTATGTTTAGCAACTCCTCCCACGCCAGGTCGGGGAGTTCTGGCCTTGATGGTCAGATCGGCTGTCAGTTTTTCACAGGCTGCTGGGGCCATGGGGCAGCAATGCGCTGCTGAATGGCATGAGTCGTTCCGTAATGTCAGCAGTCCAGGATGTGATTCCTCATCAACATGCAAGCCACTGCTCTCGGTCACCAAGTTTCTGACACACCACTCCAACTCCACACCCATAGGGACCCTGTAGAACAGGAGGCATTGTCACAATGAGGAGACCACACACAACGGTTTGGTGGGTGGGTTTTGTGCCCTTGGAAACCTGTGTTGGAACTTGATTGCCATTGTGGCAGTGTTGGGAGGCGGGGCCTTTAAGAAGTGATTAGGAGGGCTTGTGGTCATGGCTCAAGTGGTAGTTAGCGCAAGCAGGAAGCCGTAGGTTCAAACCTCGGTCCCACGGGAGAAAGAGAGTGAGAGAAAGACTAGGTCAAAAAGGAATGATTAATCCCTTTTTAGTTGCCACAAGAGCAGACTGGTATAAGTAAGACCACCCTCAGTTTTGTCATCACCCTGTGTCCACTTGTCCTCTGGCTTTTCTGCCAAGTTATAATGCAGCCACTGGTCTTGACTTTCCACCTCCAAAACTTCAAGGTAAATAAACTTCTTTCCTTTATTAATTACCCAGTCTCAAGGATTCTGCTATAACAACAGAAAACAGACTAAGACATTGTGAATAAGCCCCATTGTCAACAGAGGTGTCATACCCTCCGCATCTCAAATACAAGGACAGTGATGCACACGTACTGCAATTTGAAGTCCCACAAAGCCACATACCTGGGGAAGGCAGACCTTCTCTGACTGCAGCCCCACTCCTGGCTTACAGTGAGGGCCTGATGCATCTGGTTGCCAAGGAGACAGAAGGTCATGTGACTGTAGGACAATTATATCTAGAGCTGCTTGGAGGGGTGCAAGTGTTTAAGGACATTTGTGAGTGTTCTAGACTTCCAACGAGACACAGCCAGGGCTTTCAGCTGCTTTAAAAATGTGTTTTCATTATCAATACATAACATCCGTGCAGGTAGAGGACACAGCATTGTGTTCTGAAAGCTGTTCAATAATGTGGGGGGTGGGAGGGAGAGGTAAGGGAGGGCAATGGAAGGGCTGAACAGACCAAAGTAAAGTATACAAAAAGCAGGGACACATCGAGAAACCCCTTTGAACACTGACTTAGAAATTAATAAGGAAAGACAGGACTGTAAGATAGGTACAGTGTGGGGCGGTACCTGTAGGAGGGGGGAGGGTAAATGGTTGATGGGCTTCATACACTTACACAGAATTGAACAAAGAAACTCTCGCAATTGCTGTAAGTGGGGTGGGGAGGGGGTTGAGGGGAGATGATGGCGATATAACCAATGTAACAATATAAGCCTATTTGGAATTGTCACACACACTCTCCCCTGTACGACGAATATACGCTAATAACAGGAAAAAATAAAATAGATAAAAGTAAGTATTTCATCATCTAAA